GTGTGAGAGCTCATAGACCAGTTGCACATTTTGATTTTGTTATTTGTTATCCTGTAGGGTGGCTTTATTTGGCATTTGCAGATGACATGGTGGATGGTCTTTACAGACCTTGGTTATTAAAAACTTGAAACCTAATTCAAATTTGTAATTAATTCCAGGTCGGATTCTCCTGGGCACTGCGCGAAGTATGGATCCTACTCTCTGATCGAGGACAGAGTGAACAAGGTGGTGGATGTTCAGCTTGTTCAGGTAAACCTGATGTTATTAGACAAAGAAATGAACTCTGCAATTTAGTAAACTGATTGTATATTAATATAACATCTTTCCACTAGTACAACGATGCTTAGAGCTTTGTGTATTGCCTAACTAGAATACAGTGTATCGTAATGCTTGGACCAGCAACGCGTCAGTTCATTCACGCCTCCTTCAACAACACCAGCATTTTACACTTACACTGTAATGTCATGTTGCAGAGCTCAGAGGTCCCCAACAGCTCATGGTGTGAGCTTGAAGGGCTCAAGCGCAGTGTTGGCCTGCTGAGGGGAAAGGACCTGCATTTGGCAACGCTGATCACGGACCGTCATCGCCAGGTATTTACAATAAAATTGCAGTATAGAATGTAAACATCTGAATTGCACTAAAGCTGGATGTTTGTGGTTTGCTGATACACGGAGGGCCACACAGGTCAATCATCCACAAAAGTTTGTTTATTTCTCCTTAGGTTGCCAAATGGGTGAGAGAGGAGCTGTGCCCTGAAGGGACACAGCATTATTTTGATGTGTGGCACATTGCCAAAAGTATGTATCCATTGTTTGAACCTTGAAGCAGTTTTTGTTAGTGCATATCAATTAATACCATTTGTTCTAAAACAGGTCTGGGGAAGGCCTTGGATGCAGCTTCAAAAGAGTGTGACCAACTAGAGCTGTGGAGGCCTGCTATAGTGAATCACCTCTATTGGACTGCAGCCTCAACCCCAGACGGCAACCCAGCAGTCATGGAGGCTAAATGGAAAAGTTTAGTCAACCACATCCAGGACATCCATGACCATGACACCCCTGCCTTCTCCAGTTGTGCCCATGGCCCTCTAGATGGGCAACAAAGAGTGGCTGGACCCAGGTACAGCACACACAGCATGTGGTATTATGTACGCTCTAAAGTTTTGTTGTATTTGCTGTCTGAGTGCTTTGACATTGACCTATGATGATTAAATTATTTTTTCATTCCCTGGCAATCTCATAACATTCTGTTTACTGTTTATATTTGCTATAATTCATATGCAGGACCATTTCATGTGTTTCCATTAAAAAATTGTTTGTTTTTTGTCTGAATCTATCTTCTTGTCTATTTATACGTTTTCCATCTGTGTGTGTGTCTGTCTGTCTGCCTCCCTGCCTACCTGTCTTGGTCTTTGCAGGCTCATTGGCAGCAGTAAAGTTGGAGAACATAATCGCGAGGACTGCCTTACTGAAAGATGTTCGACAGCTGTCTCCACAGCACCAGACCTTCTCCCTTGAGGCTTACCACTCCCTCATCTTGCACTTCGCGCCCAAGCACACAGGGTTTTCATACCTTGGGATGTATAGCAGGTCAGTGCTATCCAATGGAATAATACAGCCAATTATTAGTAATAATAGTACCTATAGTAATAATAATAGTACTAGATAATAGGTACAAGTAATAATAGTACCTATTATCATGCCTAGTATTTTGTCATACATAAACCAAGTTTCAAAAAATTTCTCAAATGTGTTATTTTGTAGGCTTCTCTTAGCGGCGCTGCATTATAATCACAATGCCAACCGGGAGACAGCACGGAGAAGTGATGGGACGGAGAAGTACTGCGTGCGGTATCCGCGCTTCAGAAAAGGTGCCCATGTGGTGCGTCCCTGCAAAGAGGCAGCCTCATACGGTAAGCAGTGTCATGCAGTTCTATCATATTTTGAGATGGCTCACGAGACATCTGTGATCACTGGCAATGATCTTTATTAAGTATTATTATTATTATTATGTCTGCAGGTTATGCAACATCATTGTTGAAGGCCCTTCAGGAAAGCTACACCCATTCACCTGCAGCTCTTCGAGAGGTTAGCGCTAATTTGTCCTCCGATGCACCCGCCCCCATCGCCAAATCCTTTGAACAGGTTCCTAAGGAGGAGGCCGGCAGCCTCTTCCTAGCCCGGCAGTCACGCTACAAGAGAACCTAAATTCACATTATTTTTTTATTTTTTTTCCACAGACAGTTCCAATGATTTAGTTGTAAGTATTTATTTTATTTTAATTTATTTTAGTAAGTATTTATTTAGTTATCTTCTTTCCTTCTGTCCCTGTCATCTCATTTGGTGGTGGTTTCCTGTATTCTGCATGTTTTGTTTTTTCTTTGTGTGCTGTTGCTTTGGTTTTACTTTGCACTAAATCATTACATTTTTTCGTCTTTGTAAGTGGCAATATTTGTCGCTGTACCCCATTCACGGGGTCCTGCATGCTGCATGTCTGCTCCTCTGTCTGTTATTTGCATGAAATTTGTTGTATGCAATTCAAAATAATTTACCAATCATTTTACCTGTGCCTTGTCAACGTCTGTGTGCGGTGTTGTCTGGGCTCACTGTGTGTCAGCTTGATGTGCTTTTGCATGTATCACTGCATATGCATTCATGAAAGAGTGTGTGTGATTGTGTGTGTGACTGTGCGTGCGTGTGTGTAAGTGAGTGTGAGTGAGTACGAGAACCATCAGTTGACCCTCAGGTAAGACCACACTTTTGCAGGCATCTGAGAAATATAGCCAGGATTCGACCATTTGTGTCTTTGTTCAGTAATCTTTGTCCTTGTTCAATAAATGTTTAGTAACCCTTACAAGCAATGCCAATAAACTGTTATTACTTATTAAAATTCATGTGTTCTGTGTACTTTATAACATTTTAAGGGTAATTGGGCGACCACAACAGAATATTTATTTATTAATATTTACAGAATTATTTTTATTCATTCTCATTCAAACGAGGCCATTGAAAGCCCTGATAGGTCTGGTCACCACTTTGGAAGTTTTGCCTTATGGTTGAAACCACACAAGAGGGTAGAGGCTTCCTTATACTCCTCCCTAAAACTCCATAAGCCCAGCGTATAGCCTGCCTGTACGCAGTGTACCGGTATTGCCTAGGGATAAGTAGGAAAGATTCGTAAGTTTTAAACTCTGTAAGTAGATTGGAAACGTCATTTGAAGCCTGTCTCTTATGCATGTTTGTGCATGCAACACATCTCTTGTCACCTATAGCTGTTGTTCAAAGGACTCCCTGTAAAAAGATTGGTAAAGTAAACATAAACCATGAACATACTCGTGCGTGCTGGCTTGAAGGGGACCATGATCCTGCCTGAAGTGTGAATATGCTATTTGTAGCACAAACGGATTTAGGCAGCATGCCTCAAATCCAGGATGCTGCGTTAGGCACGTTACATCTGCTGGCCGCGGGGTGAGGTCCTCGACCAGCGACCAAAACACGCTCACCTCCCTACAACACAAGCTCTCCACCAGTTTCCATGGGACGACACCGCCCACACAGACACCTGCCAAACACAGCGACACAGACGCTTACTACTCACACCCTCTCTCGGTAAGCCTGACTGTGTCAATGACAATCAATCGCGAGGAAAACAAGTTGGCACTATCAACAATAATCACACTGAAGACATGACCAGCCTACTCGGCGTCGGCTACGGTGAAACAACATTTTCACCGGAGAAAGAGGTAAAAGTTTAAAAATAAACACTCACAGGTGGGACTGTCAAGCTTGCATTATATGCCTCTATTTATAGATCTTCTGACTAAGTTTAGGGTAACGTTACTTTTCTGAGCAAACGACATAATCACTGTCACTGGATAAAAAGAAAACGTTGACTTTCACTCGATGCTATTCACTGACAGTAAAAAAAATAAATGTTATTGTATGCACTGCTGTTCATTGACTACCTACTAGCTCCAGCGTTATTGCTGCGTTTCTAAATGGTAGCAACTCACCAGGACACTACACCAACTCTCTCCATTCATTCTCCTCTGACCATGCATTTATTCGTCTTTGACGGCCATCGGCTCTCGGTATTTCCTCATTCGCCCTCTCACGTCTAAACGGTTCGAAATTGTATGGCTGTGGGCCATCATAAATGTTAACTGTGGGTCTCGCCACCTCTTCCTCATCCCAGTTAGACGCCATAGTAGTCAGTGCCAGTCTGCTAGAATTAGTTCAAGTAGCGGAGAACGGCTGAGGCTACATTCCACCGCGTCTACCTCATGTGACGTCATTGCCGAGTCGCGTAAAATAATAACCGTTACTAACCAAAAACTGGACTTAAACACCATTTTGGAGACATTTCTAACTTTATATACATATCTTAACTGCTTTATGTACCCATTAATCGACAGTGGTGTTTAACCTGCACCATGGCCTTTAATGGGATTACAGCTTTTAAAGGGTTAATTCACCCAAAATGAAAATTATCTCATAGTTTACTTACCTTCAAGCCCCCCTAGGTGTGTATGACATTCTTCTTTCAGCCAAACACAACACAACACTCAGGGTTATATTAAAAAAATATCCTGGCTCTTCCAAGCTTTATAATTAATTAATAAACTAACAATAGGACAACAATATGTAAGTGTCCAATATGTAGAACAGTATGCAATTTGTATATCCATATTAAATGTCCATATTAATCCATATTAATAACTTTGTAAACTATAATCACTTGCTTCTGTAACAAAAAAGAGTTTTGTTATCAATTACTTAATTTTGTAATTAAAACAAGACTATTTTATAATGACTATAAAACAAGACTATCTGCACTTTTATTTAATAACAATATTATAATTTTTGCTCTCAAACTCATTATGTTTGATTGAATGAAAAAAGACGCAAAAGTAATTCCATATGATATCAGGTATAAAAAAAACACCAAACAAACATTATTGCTGCACCGTTATGAATGAGACTTTTATTTTGATATGGCGATATGACATAATAAAGCTGCGCTGCGCTCCCTGCATCAGTTGTGATTCGGATTAAGAAGGTTTGTGTTTAAAGCATTTTAGGTGTTTACATAGATACAAACGGTTCAGTAAATGTAAAGTTTTTACAGGAGATGGAAAGCGAATTATTTTCATTGAATATAACATTGTAATGCTTTATCTAACATTAATGAACGGGATTTTTTTGTCAGTAAAGCGTATCCACACATACAGAAGATGCGTCTAATTTCTCTCCCTATATCGTGAACATACCTGCCAACTTTTGAGTTTTGCTCGGCGTGAGATTTGTTGACGGGGGGGGGAGCGACGAGTCAGATTTGTTGTTGTTGGGGGGGTAGAGACGAGTCTGATTTGTTGACGGGGGGTGGGGGTGGGGGGGGTAGAGACGAGTGAGATTTGTTGACGGGGGGGTGGCGGTCTCGCTCGCGCAAGGTCTCTCGCTCGCTCTACGCGGTTTGGAGCACAATCTCTGTCTCGCATGCACGCTCGCTCTAGATAACGGGAGATTTTTAACGAATTTGCGGTATAACTAGTCGATCACGAGTGGCTCAACAGGTAGATATATAGATAAACTCATCTTCCAGGCATTTGACCGCCCGGGTTGACACTTCAGCGTGAGAAATCGGGAGTGTGGCGTGTGAGCGTGTGAAACCAATCAAATGCGGGTGTCTCACGGCCAATGCGTGAGAGTTGGCAGCTATGCGTGAATCAGTTTATCATAAACTAGTATTCGGTCACTGCTAAGTTGTGATGGGCAAACGGAGGTTTTGAAACTCCAAGTCATGTATTGGGAAAAGCGCTATCAAATATTTGTGAATTGAACCGAACCAAATGATTCGCAAAATGATTCAGTGATTTGAATCCTTCGATTCACCACACGCAGTCGCTGACGAGACATGTCAAAACAGTGGATGCAAATGCAATGCAACGAGAACACAAACACTAACATGTGTAATGACAACTTTAACAAACAACTGTAAATGTTTTCATTAAAATGCAGCCTATTAAATATAATACACGAAAAACAAACAAAAACAAATGTGAAGCTTCAATGCCTAATAACCCTTATATATAATTTGTGTTAATTTATTGGTTAGTAGTGCTAGTTTTGAGTGTTCTTAGCTAATCAGACCATGAACTCTCACGCTGACTGACTCTTACCAGTGCACTGAACTACTGAACTAGAGCTGATTGAGACACGCAGAGATTTAGTGTGGATCTATTTTTCTTTCTGTTAATTATTAATTTTTTATCTCAATCATGACAGAGTGTGCCAAACCCACAGAAAAACTCCTGGTGAAGCGACTGAGATACGCTAGACACACTTGTAAAGATGGTGTCTATTAAAGAGGAGAGTGAAGAAATGAAGATTGAAGAAACGTTTAGAGTGAAATATGAAGATACTGAGGAACAAACAGGTTGGTTTCATTCTCAAAGCTGAACTCAGTCATTTGATCCTTATTAAAATGTCCAGCTCTACAGAAATGAATGATATTTTTTAGGGATGCACCAATACGGAAATGTTGGTAGTAGAGGAATGCAAGCAATCACGATTTTCGCGGTTTTTCTTCTTTTTCATAAGGCTACGCCCTTCTTGCTTTGCACTTTGTGCATGTGTATTGAATGTTAAATAAATGAATAATGATAATAAGACTGTTTGTCACGGATTTGCACTTAACAAGCCTAAACAGACCGTGAATGAGAGAGAGATCAACTGAGCGCGTGCGATTACCTGCATCTGACCTTCAGGTCTTATATTCATAAAAAAAATAATAATAATAAGATCGCCATGTCCAAGGAACGCGAAATCTTTGTCCTATCATCCTTTTAACGTTGTTTAAAGAATGGCGTCAGCGCTGTCAATGCTTTAAATCAATTTTGATCTCTATGAAGTGAAGCATCAGTTTCAGCGTTATTCATATGGCGCATTGCTGCTTTACAAAGTGGCTCTCAAAGTTCAAATAATTTCAAAACCTTGTTTAATTACATCCATCTTTGAATGAATCTGCGTTAGTTGAATGAACGGTTTAATGACTCACTCAAAGACAGTCCCTTGCCGCCACCTCGACCGGTCAGGCATTGAAGTGGCACCAAAATCTGCGTTCTGATTCGGTCCGGCACAGAACATGCCATATTGGTTTCGGTAGTCAACCCTAGGGGACATACATGTGGAGATCACATGACCAGACAAATAGAGTGGTGCAGGTATGACGTCACTTTGTAGGCCGACCGGCAGTTTGCAACACACTTAGCCTGGTTAAAACCAGACCATTCTCAGTTGTAACTGAGTTATGGTCTGGCAAAGCGTCATAGACAAATCATTTCCAGAGGGGCGTCACCAACGGACGTCGCGGATAGACCTAAACCCAATCAGAGCGATGAAGGAGATGAGTATGCAGAGCGGCGGAGAAACATCTCCGAGTGTTGTTCTTTGCTCGGTTTTTAACTAAAAGGAAACGTTCAAATTGCTTAAAACAGACGCGATAGCTGATTCGAACGAGTGATGTTCGAAGGCGGCATCCATCTTTGTAATGTAGGCTACAAAATCTGCTTCAAAATCCCAGCGCTGTCGTCATCGTGTAAAGCCCGCCCCAACGTTTCTGATTGGTGCCGCGATTTCGACGGATTGGAAATGGGCTTGAATGAGCTCTTTGCCAGACTAACTTTCAAAAAGCAAATCTAAATTTGCCGGAAGTTGTCTGGGTTTTTCCAGGCTACATCACACTGGTTTCCTCGACAAAAACCTAATAGGATTTTCCCATAGGCTTTTAGATAATCGCTAAAAACAAGCTCTGTGATCAACAAAAGTTTATGATACTTGCACGTTTTGTTCATAATTATCACTGATGAATAGGGCTGTAGCTATCGATTATTTTAGTAATCGAGTATTGTACTGATTATTCCATCGATAAATCGAGTAATCGGATAAAAAATTGTGGTGATAAAAATGTGAACAACAGCCTTAAAAATGACTTAAAATACAAATATAGGCAACACTTTACAATAAGGTCCATTGGTTAACATTAGTTAACTACCTTCGTTAACATATACTAAGAATGAAAAATACTTCTACAGCATTTATTAATCTTGGTTAATATTAATTTCAACATTAACTAATTAATTATTAAAATCAAAGGTTGTATTTGTTAACATTAATGTACTGTGAACTAACATGAACAAACAATGAACAGCTGGATTTTTATTAACTAACATTAGCAAAGATTAATAAATACAGTTACAAATGTATTGTTCATTGTTAGTTCATGTTGGTTAATACATTAACTAATGCTAACTAATGAACTATTGTAAAGTGTTACCCAAATATATAATGACAAGCAATAATTATTGGTTCAAATAAAGTATCAAAGTAAGTAATCATATGGGTTTTATTGAACAACACTGTTAAAATATAAATATAACTTACATTACGCATTATAACAAATGCCTACAGAGGGCACCAACGGCCTGGTTACACTACGGCATGATCAAATCCTTGTTTAATATTTGGCCAAACAACATTTAATTCAAATGTCAACTTAATCTTTAATATTTGGTCACTTATGTACGGTAGAAATGCAACAGCCGCTGTAATTTCTTGAACAAGAACGTGCACATCAAAATTTTACACTTTTATTTTGAAATCGCGATGAACAACAATTTGCATATTCAGAAATATATTTATGTATTCTCCTGTGTTGGCGTAGATTTACAAATGAGTTGCGTTACAAATCTTGTGAAATGGCGCACACTGCGTTCCCCGATGCGTTCTCGCAGTATGCAGAGCTGGAGTTTGAGAAACCCGAGACGCGCTCCACGCATTTACATGATAACAGTTACAGTGCAACTATGAAACACAAACCGCGTCCGACGTTTTGCGTTACCAAATGCACGTTATTGGAAACCTAAACAAACAGCACATGCAGAGACTGAGTTTGCATGGAGCAGCGTTTACTGTGAACGGAGCTGAGATACTTTTAACACATAACACAAAAGCGCATATATTTATTTAACTGAATCACAGCCGTTGTGATTTCAATATATTATGATTTTAAATGGTTTTAAATGTATCGCGTAGCCTTTGAAAACGGTCTAATAATGCGGTTCATGGATAATTATTATTTTGCCGGTTACTCGACGCGGGTAAATTGCAATCAATGATTTTTTCAAATCGAGTACTCTACTTTAATCGAGGAATCATTACAGCCCTACTGATGAACACAACTTTTATTAATTTTGAAGCCTAAATGCAATCGCCAGAAGTAAAAAGCTAAAGGAAGGCTATAAACGAACTACACCACGGTCCCACGACTTCAACGTCACCATCATTAAGCTTCCAACAACTCTTTCAGTTTTTATCTAAAAACATTTTACCAGAACGTTTAAGTTAGAATAGTTTGTAAGAGCACAATTATAACCATAACTAGGCTGCCTCGACAGCCTCTTTAACCACTTGCTATCAACCAGCCTTTTCAAAACACGTATCATCCTAACAAAAAATCATGAGGAGAGTAATTGATATATTTTATGTCGAAGAATAAAACACGAAAGTGTCTTTGAGTTGTGTTCACCACAGACCTTATTTCTGCCATTTAACCAAAATCCCATTCAAAAAACCCATTGATTATCGCGACGATGGAACCAGAAGTGCTAAAATGCTAACTCGCTTCTGGGTTTTGGCCTACAAAGTGATGTCAAACCTGCACCACTCTATACTAACTTCACTTGAATCTGAGAAGGTCCTTCTTCCATGTTAGACATTCATTATTATGACATGTAGAAGTAGCCCAAAGAAAACAATTATTTAAAGGGACACTTCACCCATTTGCATTAACCTTTGTATCTTTAGAAACCCAGTCATATTTTTGAATGGTCAGAAATAAGGATTTAAGTGTTCCACTTCCTGCTTTTTATGACGTAAAAAGCGTCATTTTGCGTCATAAAAAGCAGGAAGTCCCATTTCTTTGTATAAGGGTTGAGACTACAAACACTAGCTCATCATTTATCCAGGGTGTGGGACCCACTCACGCTACAGAGCTATCACAGATCAGTGGGTGGGACTTCACTTGCAGATACTGAAATCAATGTCAGCCATCTTGTTTGGAAGCTAAGCTAACAAGAGATAGGAAGCTACAATGACGGAAGAAACTAAACATGATATGGAAGAAGAGGATTTTGAAATTCTGCAGCTCAAATCCGATGTTCGTGGCTATCTTTACGAGCCGCAATATAGTGAAGAGCAGCTGAGGCTGATGGAGGAACAGGAGGCGGACGAGGAGCCCGGACTGGCTCGAGCTGGGCGGACTGCGGGTGCCTGTGCTCTCGCTGTGCGCTACAGACACAGATAGAGTCCGTCTGCTGCAGAGAATTTCAACGATGGCAATTTCTCCTGGACGAAATCTCTGAATCAGACGAGCACACGGAGTTTTGTGTTGTGATGTGAACCATCCTAGTTTCGCCTGACTGAACATCCAGGTATCATGCAGTAATTCACCATATAGAAAGAAATACAAACGAGGAGTAATTCACTAATGAGTTTGCCAATGTAACAGGGTTCGTTGTTGTGGGAAGAAGGAGGCGGGAACCGGCGAACATTTAAACATTTTAATAGTAAAATAAACAAATACAAAACAAAAGTATAAGCCAGCAGCCCCTCACTGCTGGCCACACACAACTAGGGATGCGCGGTATACCGGTACTGCAAAAATACCGGTATATATTATATTTCAAACGGTACAATATCATAATTTTGTTCAATTCGGTATTTGATGCGCTGCTGTTTCGAAGTTCACCGCTAGGCGGCAGTGCGCTACCTAAACTGACGCGGGTCACGCGAAACCGGCAAACGGTGACAACGGAGGAACACGATGGATCAAACGAATCTCATTCGAATTTCTACACGCCAGAAATTAATAAATAGAGAGAGCAGTATGAGTGAAATAAGGCATTACTTTGCCAACAAAAGTAATGAGAAAAGGAAAGAAACAGATCTCAATGCACCACTCTGCAAACGGGGAGGCAACACATCAAATCTGCCGGAGCACTTGTGAGTTGCTCATCTTGACTTGTTCAAAGAGTTCAGAGATCGACAGGTTAGTCCATCATTCAACTGATTTAATCTAGACTTTTATTGAACATTGAACAGCGCACATACATAAGAGCTTATCAATTATATATGATACGTTAAACACGAAAGCTCAAATCTGCTTGCATGACACGCTAGAACCAATTAAGTTTAGTCTCATCATTTTTGCACTTTCAAACAAACATATATTAATTGAATTTGAATGAATAAAGAATAAAAATTTGAATAATATTAATTTTAGTATTAGTGATAGTAAAATGAATGGCATATTAGTGCCGCTCTGGCGCGCGCGAGAGAGAGAGAGGAATAGTAGTATGAATATTACCCTACTAATATTATAATTAAGCTAAGTTACATTTGTCAACATTCATTAGGTAACCTGACCTAACAGTATTATAGCATTTATTAATCTATATCAATCAGTAATTAAATGACCTAGAAAACTAAATATACTAATACATGTTTAGCATGTTAACATTACTTTATGCAATGCATTAATATGAACCCAAACAGTAACCAAACCAAGATGAATAAATGCAATAAATGTTGATAATTCTCTGTTGATGCATGACAGCTAATGGTTTACAATGTCATTTCATCATTTCATTATTCTATTATTATTATTATTATTATATGTTAATCTATTATTATAGATATTAACCTATTTTAAATGTATAATTTCAAGTTTTGTTTGTTTTTGTTTTTAAATGTAACCTACTGTATGTTCCCTGAGTCCCTGACTGAATTATTATTATTTTTTTGTTTTACATTTTGATACCTTTTCTTTGCACGTTTGGTAGTGGAGAGTTTCAAGCAGTGTTTTTTAAGTGTCACTTAAATTTTGAGGCCGTTTTTTTTTTTTTACTTGTGGTATCGATTTAGTATCGATACCGAGGTATTAGGTTCTGGTATCGTACCGAAGCCAAAATTGTGGTATCGAGCCATCCCTCCACACAACAGAAACAAAACACAACATAAAATCAGGCCTGTTCCTCTCTCGATCTGCACTGTCGTCGCTCCTCCTTTTATGCTTCTGCTCCTCCGTGAGAGACGCGAGACCGGTGCGTCTCACAGGTGTCGTTCATTAGCACTCACGCCACCGGCCTTGCGCCGCTCTCACGTCACTCGCCCTCGTCCTGCACGCCCTTTTTTCCTTGATAAATGCAAGATCAGTATTGACTTTTTTTATATACTAAACTTCTTTTTATTGAACAACCTGGACTTTTTATTACTTAGACTTGGCTCTAGACAAATGACCAATATTAGAACTACCCAGTCCTTTGCTTTGTGTCTTGATATACAGACCGGCAAAACTCTGAGTTTTCAGACTTTTTAATACTATGTGGTCTCAATTTCCGATAACCTGTTGATTCTTGGTGATTTTAATAGATGTTGTCCTTCAAAAGCCTCTCATAAGAGATTTTGTACAACTTTTAGACTTTTAATTTCACTCAACATGTCCTACACAAGCTAGGTCACACACTTAATCTAGTTTCATCATTAGGGTTTTCCTTTACAAATATCTCTGTAAGTGATGCGTGTCTATTTAAACCTGAGCTAGTATATAATTATATTTCGTCAAATGCAAAGTTTAATATTAATTAAGTCATATAATAATTATATGAATTATACATAATTATAATAAAATATAAATATAAAAAACTAATTAGCAGCATAAGGGGCAATTTGTCTCCAAACTTGTTACTATAAACTGCTGTAATTTGGAGCAAGAGATACAGGGGGAGTGGCTTTATTGCATCAGATATGGTACTTTGCTCACAGCTGATTGGTCCAGTGATCTCTAATCCAGAATAAAACCTGCTCCAGAGCAGGTTAGCCGTGCAGCGCAAGTTACCATGGAGATGAACAACGTTAAAAACCAATCCACCTTCTTGAGTTTAGCAGCTGAATATAGGGAATATGGCAAACTCTTATTTACTTATTTTTTAAAGTTGCCTACATATTAGAGGTGCTTTATTTCCATAGGGTGAAAAAAATGCAGTGTTAATGCAACTTTACACAAAATGTGTGACTTTTTAACATTTCCAGGCAAAGATATAACTAAGTAATGCACTGGGGAAAACATGTCTCAAAAGCATTAAACAACAACATATCTCTCAAAAGAAAACTTGGGTCATACACTTCTCCCTCAGCAGCTCGCGCTGTGGCCTCCACCTTTTTATTTTAAAGTTGGGATTATTCACTACTGTAAAGTGACGTGACTGGCAGATGTTTTCCATGCACAGTGCGCTGACCCGGTTAAGTGATAATCAAATTCATTGGTGATTTTTTTTCATTACTTTTGTTTCAGTTTTATTGATTAGTTGATGCAGCCCTAATATCAACAATGCATTTCACAAACTTGTATGGTTGTGCCTTTTTTTTCAGGTTGTGAGTAAATAAAAACTATCATTGGCATTACAGTGAATACTAATGATAAGCTTAAACATGGATAAAAGCAGAGGACCTAATACTGAGCCCTGTGGCACACCATACTTGTGTTTGATGAGATGTCTCTTCATTTACACAACCAAAGTGGTTGTGGTAAACCTTGCTGGTCCACAAATGCCAACATAATTCTCAAGCCATCCAAGAGAATATTGTGTTCTATGTTGTCGAAAGATTAAATAGCACTTGATTTGGGCATCTGTTTGCAGCTACATCTCTCTTCAAGTCATTTGTAACTTCAAATTGTGGTTTAAACAAGCACGTTACAATAATAATTATGATTCCAGCAGGTTCAAAATGCCGCTGCTAAACTATTGACCAGTACAAGAAAGATGGACAGAACATTTCTTCAATGTTGTGTTTGTATTGTGTCTTTGTTTGGTTTTTTTGAATGCGTTGTACAGCACTTTGGGCTGCACTTGAGGCAGTAGGAATGTGCTTCATAAAAAAATAAACTAAACTAATAAGGGGTTTGATAACTACTTTTTTGGACTGCAGGTATTTTTGACGTGTCCTAAAGAAAGTGAAGTTAACAATTGAGAAGAGGTTCTGAGATTACAGGAAATGCCTCTGTTTTTCAGTAGGTTTTGATGTTTGTTCCTTTGTGCCATTAAACTGGTGTTAACTTATATTTGTTTGTTTTTTCCGCTTTAGACCTGATGGCACTGAAAGAGGAGAGTCCAGAACTCAATGACATGGAGGGGAAAGATCCGTATGAAAATCATCATGATTTCATGGCTGGAGAAAAATCCACAGAGACTGAAAAGACATCATCACGAAAAAGACGTCGGAACAAGTCTAACAAGTATTTCACCTGCCATCACTGTGGAAAGAGTTTCAATCATCTTGGAAACCTTAAAGTTCACATGAGAGTTCACACTGGAGAGAAGCCTTTCACCTGCAAACAGTGTAAAAAGAGTTTCACTCAAAAACAAAACCTTAAAGTCCACATGAGGCTTCACACCGGAGAGAGCTCTTTCACATGCCAACAGTGTGGAAAGTGTTTCACTCAAAAAGGAAACCTTACAGTCCACATGAGAATTCACACCGGAGAGAAGCCATTCACTTGCAAACAGTGTGGAAAGAGTTTTACATATAAAAACTACTTTAATTCCCACGTGAGCAGTCACACTGGAGAGAAGCCGTACACATGTGATCAGTGTGGAAAGAGTTTCACACGTAAAGCATCTTTTAATTACCACATGAAGATTCATTCAAGAGAGAACTGTTTTGTATGTCATCACTGTGGAAAGAGTTTCACCTATAAAATAAGCCTTAAGACTCACATGAGAGTTCATACTGGAGAAAAGCCTTATTCATGCACTCAATGCGGAAGGAGTTTCACATATAAAGCCTCGTTTGACTCCCACATGAGAAGTCACTCTGGAGAGAGGCCTTACACGTGCAACATGTGTGGGAAAGGCTTCCCACAGAAAGGAAACCTTCAGACTCACATGAGGATTCACACTGGAGAGAAGCCGTTCATGTGTCTTCAGTGCAAAAAGAGTTTCAGATATCAAAGAGATTTGAAACATCATTTGCAGACTCATTGTGGAAAGAAATTGCAGTGTTCTGAGGGTGGTAAGGTTAAAAAAAGGAGCCATTTTAAAAATCACCGGCGCACTCACCCTGGAGGAAGACAATTTAATTGTGATCAGTGTAATAAAAAATTTCTTTTGCCATTACACTTAGAGATACACATGAAAAGTCATGCAGATGTGAGAGCTTATTCATGTTCTTTGTGTGGAAAGTGTTTCAAATGGCTTGGCCATTTAAAATGGCACCAGAAAATATGTCTCTGTGTGAAGTCAAGGCTGCATTCAGACGTCAGCTAAATGTGGACCAAATCTGTCTGTCCACCTGTCCATGACACTACTTTTATTAGCATCCTTCACCTTGGGGTTTTTTATTTTCTTTTGTCAAGTACATATGATCACTTGTGGCCCACCTGACTTTCTCCTTTGCTATAGTTTCAAATATTCAGTGGTTGCGGGAAATGCCCTCTAATTTCGATTTTATGGAGACGTCGCTGCACTCCAAATGAAGAGTTTGGTTCCAAAACGCGATAAACGCCATTTAAAAAAAAATCAGTATTGTATCTGGTTGGTATTGAAAAGTCAATGTTTAATTTTAAGTAAAATGCGATATCCGCCGTGTTATTCTGTCATGTTTTCTCCCTTTCTTTCCAAACCGCGACAAACGCCAGTCTCCCTGCGATATATCCGCTCTCAACCAATCACAACGCACCATTCCACGCAATGTAAACAGTAACGGCAGCGCCTAAAATACACCCGGCTTCCTAGTTCTTCTTATCTATTTTGTACTTTTCGATCAACAAACAAACAAAAAAATGAATAATTTTGACGGCATTGATGAACCTGTGGTTGTTTCTGCGGTGGGTAAGAAACGTAAGGCATCGAAATCGAATCATTTACGTGAGGAGATTAAGAAGATGAGCCACTCGGGAGGAGGAAAAATGTTTTCAATCTTCTTTACAGTTCTTAATAAAAATATTATACTAATAAACTTACGTTGTTGTGTATTTTCAACAGTTTCAATATGAAAAAAAAAACTTTTATATTGATTCAATGGATTAATTGCATTTTGATTTTATTTTTTTAATGGATTTATTGCATTTTGGGGAAAAAATTATCCGTTTTTATAATAAATCTTTGAAAATCAAAACCTGGATTTTTTTTTGTTTTTTTGTTATTATGACCTACAAATGCTATGTGAAAGTTTGAAACAGAAAATAGTGGTTTTCATCTTTCCACTTTCTTGGTAAAGAAAACACATTTTTTCTCAAATTAATCTAAATGGATTTATTGCGTTTTGGAACCAAACTCTTCAAATATTGATACCTCTGAATCAAAATATTAGTTGATCTTCTTTCTTGCTGTGAAATTCCACAATGTGAATGAAAGTTTATAAATAAAAGGACAGAAACTGAATTACCTAAGTAATTACCTTACTTGATTCTTCTCTTCAGTGAGAAAACACAAGTGTTGTCATACACGAGATCACATTTTTCCACACCACGGTTATCGTGGACAAAAGAATTCACTGTAACGATATACCACAATACCTTGAAAATAAAAACTGTTATCACTCAAATTCATCTTTACTTTATTTTTTTTTGCCAATTAATCACACCATTACATACCAAAATGACAAGAATTGAGACTCTGGCGTCTTTGACACTGCCTAATTAATAACCAGGAGAGAGAAAATACTGTCAAAGTCAACAGTATTATAAATAAGCTTTACATATATTACCTAGTTCTGGCATGAAGCTCTAGATGGTGCAGGATGATGGTCTGAACAATTATTGGTAGCAATCATGTCATTATCTACATAACACAGCTGATTGGTTGCTGTTGCATCAGTGGCCAATGAGCTTGCTGCTCAAAAATTCAAATACTTTCCATTGTTTGCTGTTAGTCTGTAGCATACTTTCAGGAATAAACATCGAAGTTAAGCTAATTATCTTTTATTCTACATCTCTGCACATATTGTGTGGTCCGGTTATTAATTCCTAAATGGAGCAATCTTTACAAGTTTTAATCTAGATTAAATGGTTAGCTGCATAAAAATAAGGACACCTCATTTATTCAAGGGTAATGTTTCATATGCTTAACATGTTGATGCAGTTCTCAAGTCATGTATTATTTATCACTGTTATTATTACACTCCTAATGGCTTTTCATTTATCATAAGAGTATAAAGGTTATGTAATCATTATGACGTATTGATGATACTTGCTCAGGTGGTTGCTGGGTTCCTATCTCTATCAGCCTGCAACGTTATATCTATTGTTCACGAGAACACAAGCATGCATTTCTAGTGTTAAGCCGGTCAGCAAGGTAGCCAAGGCACACATAGATAGTAAAACATGGTACCATTAAAAAACAAAACAAAACAACAAATGGTACATATAGTTGTAATCAAATTTATTCAACCCAATTGGCTTGGCTTTCAGTTGTTTGCAACGACCAAATTAAACAAAAGTAAATAAAAAGTAACTTTGAATGACTTCTGCAATCTCAAAATTATTCAACCCCCTGAATAGAATCCCTCACAACAGCACAAATCTGCAAAACAGTTGTTGACTCAGCACACCTGATGCAACTAGTCAAGGGCTTCATTAGTTGCACCCAGTGTGCTTGAGCTAGAACACATGAAATATCTGAACTGGCTAGGTTTGTTGAGTGTCATGTTTGACTGCATGTTAGAAATAAGTCAAAAGAATGGTCCAAAATGTTAAGAGAAGATGTCATCACCCTTCACAAGGAACAGGATACAAAAAGATAGCAAAATTTAAGCACTAAATGTTCCTAAAGACACCGCTGGAAGCATACTTTGCAAGTTCAAAGTTAAAGGAACAGTGGTTTCATTTTATTATTTCAAACAAATAAAAAAATAATTTAGTTAATTATCAGAAACACGGTCGTCACATGGAGTTATCTAGCACATAATGGTCTCACAACGACTATTGTCTTGTGTCTGAAGGTGTAAAGCATGACGTACACCCAGACCCAGGGATGGGCAAAAATACATCACAATCAGTACATATTTACCAGTATATATTTCTTAAAATGAACAATAAAACGTGAACCAAACATGTACAAATTTATTGAAATGGATTGAACTGATAAGAACTGATTAGGACTGCCAGTAAGAGAAATATTAACAGCATTCTGTAAAAGAAGCGTGACAAGCTATCAGAATCTAATTATCTAGGGAAGCATAGATGTAACAATAATAAAAAAAGAAATAATCCATTTCTTCTTTCATTGTTTTGGTGATTTCATTGTCTCTGGGAATCCTCTGAACAAACATGTCTTCCTGATGGCTAGGACTAGGTTTTCGGCAGAGCTCTGTCCCCTTGGGTGTGACAGACCTCTCTGAATTTGGAGGAGGTGATGTGAGCCAGCATAGTTTGTGCCACTCAATGCTGGAAATCTGCTCTTTTGTACTGTTGGCAATTTTGTGTGCGGTCTCTAATGTTGTTGCCAGCGATATCATGTGGTACTGCTGATGTTCAGTGCAGACAAAAGAGGTGGCAGCTGTGGGGGAGGAGGAGCATGTGTGTGGACAGGTTTTCGGCACTCTCTTTGCCGGCATGTGATAGGATAACACTTCCTTCTTGCACTTTTCCAAACGCAGAGTCAACCAGAGGAGCATTAACGTCCATAGCCATAGCAGTTATCAGTGGAGCCGCATCACTTGTAAGATCATGGAGAAAGTTCAGTCAGAGGTGAACTGACACCCTTGTTCAAGTTGCTCCTATGGAAGAGATAATAAAATACTAAATGAGCCATAAAGCAGGTTACACATAAGTTGATCAAACAAACAAAATAAATGAATTAAAAAGCCTGAAGAGATGGTTTGCACTTTCTAGCTTGAACACCTATACTCTAAATATATATAAATATATGTATAAATACTAACAATGAATGTTAAAATACAATGCAGCATACGATCAGATGATTACTTTATCTGAGGTCTCACTGATATGATTACCACAGAAAATGTCTTTAATGATGACAACAACAATACTTGTTGTTGAGCGCGTAAGTTGTTTTTTCTTAATATCCAGTTCTCCTGTTGCTCTGTTTACTATTTGTCAAGTAGGTAGGGCTATTTTCGATTCTTTGCTTATTTATAATTTTTATCTTCACTAAATATCTGTATTTTAATTAGACGCGTTCCTATTTTGAATTTATGCCGCGTGTCTAAAGGGCTGTAGTCTGTATTTTATTGTAGCACTTAAGTAGCGCTGTTCAACAGCTAGTTTCGGTTTGGCCCATTCTCGGGATATTTGCTTTTGCTGTGCTAATTGCTGGGGCGGCCACAGCTGCCCTCACTCAGGCGATTGAAATCTTTATATCTATGTAAGCGTTCAGCCTCCTTGTGTGAAGACCGACTCGGGTAAAGACCTGTGACTACCTGCGCGACTCCACCGAGCAAGGACACCTGCAAGGCACTCAAGTTTCTTCTTCACCCTTTCCTTTACCACCTTTTTCTAATTTCCCTTCATCAACATGTGCTTTCAATACATTCCTGTTGTTTCTCGACCACGCTCTCTCATCATGCACAGAAGGCAGCACAATACTACTAAACTGCGCCCTATTCCCTCATCCTCACCTCTCACTCTTTCTATGGGTCTATGGAATTGTCAGTCAGCAGTCAATAAAGCTGACATTATTCCAGCCTTTGCATCTCATTCTACTCTTAATATCTTGGGCTTGACTGAGACCTGGATCCGTCCAGAAGACTCAGCAACCCCTGCTGCTCTCTCTAACAACTTCTCTTTCTCTCACACCCCTCACCAGTCGGGGAGGGGTGGGGTTACTGGTCTTCTCATTTCTAGCAATTGGAAATACTCAACTCTCTCTTCTCTATGCAATAACAACTCATTTGAATATCATGCTATTACACTTACAACTCCCATTAAGATCCATATTGTAGTCATATATCGCCCCCAAAACCGGGAAGCTTTGTAGAGGAGCTGGATGTGCTGCTGTCCTCTTTCCCTGAGGATGGCATCCCACTTGTAGTCTTTGGCGACTTCAACATTCATCTAGAGAAGCAGTATGCAACAGACTTCATCTCTCTCCTAGCCTCATTCGATCTCCAACGGCTCATCACCACAGGTACTCACAAGTCAGGCAACCAACTGGACCTGGTTTACACACGCCACTGCATCACAGACAATATTTTGGTGAAAAATCTCAACGTTTCAGACCATTTCCTCATTACTTTCAATCTACAACTCACTACCCATGCACCACCAACCCCCCTACCAGTTACTTTCAGACGAAACCTGTGCTCACTTTCTCCCTCTCATCTTTCCTCTGCTGTGTCATCTTCTCTTCCCTCACCCTCACAATTCTCATCTCTGGATGTGAATACTGCAACGGATACTTTATGCTCCATTCTAACCTCTTCTTTAGACTACATCTGCCCTCTTTCCTCCAGGCCAGCACACGCTACTCCC